CAAACAGATCGTCTTCTTCTCTGCAAAAAAAAAAAAAAAAAAAAAATTTGGTCTTGACCACCAAAAGAGAGTTAAAGGAAGGGATGGCCAGTTTGAAAATTAAAAAGGGAAAAACCTACCCCGCTCCCTAAACTTATAGACATTATAATACTTGAAGAAGAAATATTTGGTGTCATAAGCCCTAATGTTGCTGGGGTAACCAAATATCCCTCCCTCGATTGTAGATCGCTTCGAGAGGTAGAATGAATATTTGTCCTTGCTTTTCTTTAATATGTAGGCGCATGCAAGTTCCAACACTGTTAACTCGCCAATTCGTGTTTGCGACATGCGATATACATAGCAATTGCAATCATGTACGCGTTGGGTGTCAATTGGAACGACGCGACCACGAAGTAGTCAAGGATCGATCTGATAAAGGGGTGAAAAGGTATCATCACCCCGCATTTAAAGATTGCCTCTAAGATCGTAGCCATTCCATTTGGAGGGTCCTAAGTGTTGTGCGATCTATGCTGGTAGACGTTTACATTGATCGCAAACTGGTCTACCGCTTTTTGAATCTCATCCAAAGTGGTTGTTGATAGCATCGCTTGTACGGGGCCCGTCAAGGTGCTTGAGGGCTGCGAACTAGTTCCTTCAGTTGCTCACATATCCGAAGCGTCAATCGCTCCTAAAGTCTGAAAAGGCGCAACACGTAGAGGTGACTCAGTCTTTGTACAGTGTGTCGTACGAAGACTTAAATGAGTAAGAAAAACCCTAATTTTCTCTCCTTAACTCCTAAAAACCCTAAACATCCTTGAGAATTAGTTCCTAAGGATTTGTGCCTTAGGTTTTTTATTCTTGAGGGTGTTTCCTTTTTGAACACCACCCTAGAATGTGCATCACATAGTTTACCAAGCGTTCAAGCCCATCATTATTGTGAAAGAACCAAGCTTTTAACATGAATGAAAAGAAGAAAGGAAAGAGTTTTCCTTACCTCTTAGTTGTTGGGAACGAACGCTCTATCGTAATGGAGAGTGCGCATCAACCGGAAGATAAATGAACTTGTTTCTTGAGTATGGAAACTCTATTATTCTCTCTAAAGATTCAAACTCTGTGAAAATTCTGAGGTAGGCTTAGGGTTTTATAGGGAAAAAGGTGACCCTTGGTTTCTTTCTCAAGCAATGTTTGGGCAGGGCGTGTTCCCAACCATTGGATGCGACCACGTGTCGCCAATCCTCGCGAAGAGTGAATTACACGCTTCGTAAAGATTAATCGATATTTCCCTCCGTTGAAAATACCAAACGTCGGCGTGGTTAACTTCACCATATTAAATACGCCCTCATCCGCATTTAATGCCTTAAAAGAGAAGGCCGTTTTAACATGACTTGCATTTAATGCTCATGACTGACACTAATTGCGCAAAGACACGTCTGTTAGATAAATCTTACTTTATTGACTAGGCCAGCTATCAGGTGCAACAGATAACATCTGAAGAGGTCGTTCGATTGAAACACTCTTCTCTGTGTACTAGGCTCAAAGCGAAGTGACTTTTGATTTTCGACAAAAATACTCTTAAGTGTTTTTAGGTCGCGAACGATGGACAAAGTTCCAAGCACGTTGGTATAGTACTGAGCAGGATCCGATCCCATGTCACTAAACTTTAGGGGATGATCACATCAGGTCGCTTGTGCAACTCACGAAGCTTTGCATCGCGGCCTCTATTCAGTTCGTTGGTCAAGTTAAGTCGTGTGCTTCACGTTACCTTGGGCGATCTCTATCAACAATTTGAGCGAGCAATCCTCAGAACGAGTCAAATCATGGCATAATCATGAAGTTCTCAAAGGATTAATTAGAGTTTAGGAAGGCATTGTGCCATCTAGGCGCTGCCACATTGTCCAAGGACAGAAAGAGTAAGGTCGTCATCAACTTGACAAGTAGGGGTAAGGCTAGTGAATGATTGGGAGTCATCTCCTTGTCCGATCCCTACGAGATTTAAGGATACCTACTACACATCTAGCCAATAGGAAGCAAGGTAGGAACTATACGGTACCTGCTCATTGACAGACCTGTAATCATTGCCTAGGAACCTCTTACTATAAATAGAGAGCTCCCCTCTCTTCATCCGGATTTGGCTTCTGATAATATAAACACTCTCTCTTCCTCTCTGTATTTCTTTTCTAATCGCTACTTGCGACCTGATTGTAACCTTTCTTCTATAAAAAGACAATGGACGTAGAATACGCTTTGAGCATCCAAACCACTCTAAAAATCTTTTTCCTTTAGTTATTTATTTATTTCCATTCCTAGTTTACATGTAATTTCTAAATCCGCTTAACACTTTGCACGTGCGAATAGTTGGTGTTAAAATCTAGCATCAACAAACACCAACATGGCTAGAGATTTGGACAAATTCTGAAGAGATTTAAGGCCAGAAACCGCTAGATCATTGCTTCAAAAAAACTCCATGAATTTGTTGTGATGATAAGAGGAATGTGAAGCCTGGAAATTGCAATGGCAAGGCAACAAGGTAGGCACAAGAATTGGGATAGTTTCTTTATCCAAAGTGAATTAATTTTTTCACCATCGCTTCTTCGTTTATGATAGGCTGTTGAATGGTGTTGCTACAAAAATTGTCTAATTAAAGAGTTAAGTATTGCGGTTGTTAGGTCTTCTTAAATAACAAGAGTCAATGGCTACAATTGAGAACTTCACTGTTTGGTGTTTAGGTGCATAAAGTGGAAGTGTTGAAGAGAGTGAGAGAAGGGTGTATAAGGGTTTCAGTTCATTGTTTTAAAAACTGGACCGGCAAGCAACCCGCTCTGATGGCTGGGTCACGGTTCAACCGGTTGGACCGTCATTGGACCGGTGATGTCATCACACATCATAATGACGTCAGCACATTTTTAAAAAAACTTTTTTTTTTTTTTTTAGATTTCTATTTTTTAATAAGACAATAACAACTTAATTACTATCCAATCCAACATGATTCAAAGTTCAAATTCAACAACAATCCTAACATAATTTAAGTATTTAACAACAATTTAAAGTCCAAATCCAAACATGATGTTGTATTTACATATTAAATGTAAAAATACATACTAATTAATAACAAAACATTTGATACAAGTGTTTTTTTCTTTTATCCGTCTCCATGTTGATTGAGCTTCACATACTAGCATCAAAATTCATCACCATCATCATCATCATCATCATCATAACCATCACCACCATCTACGCAAATTTAAGTAAAAAATAGAAATCATAAGTTAAAACTTGTAATTTAATTTAAATAGATACTAAGTTGCTTAAATAAAATCAGAAAACATAAATCTTTAGAATCCTATGTATAATCCAACACAAAGCAAGTTATAATAAGGGTGATGAACCATACTAATTAATGTGCAAATTCTTTCTAGAATCTTCTACCATTGTAATTTTCTATGAAAGAATAATGTAATACTGATGCTTAACCTAGTGAAATAATAGATTTACCAAGCAAATATCGAATACGAAACTGTATAGACAGAATAAAATGCATAAATCATAAAATACACAGAACACCAGTTGCCAATCAAAGCAGTGAAGTATCCACATGCAAAATTTGTAATCCAAAAAGGTAAAGGTCAAACAACAAAACTGATAATGAACAAACCAGTCAAAAATCCTTCGAGCTAACACACCACGGCAAAAGCCACTTCTTCCACAATAATAAACCTTCCTAATTAACCAGTGTAAAGGCCAACCTCCACAGACCATCCAACAATTCTCACATAATAGCACAAATAACAAAGAGCAGGTCATCGCAACATAATTAGGGAGGGTAGCATCAGTAACCAAATCCCTTGGAAGCAGACAAAATGAATCCAACCACATAACAGAGGGCACAACCAATCAGTAATTGTACCAAGTAGACAAAATTTTATACTTTAGTTATTTCGTGGCAGTATGTCAAGGTTTAGGCATCTGAACTATTCAATACAGGCAAGAATATCAACTAAGTTGTCAAAGTAAAGCTTAATTCTTATTCTGCAGTAACATTCAGTAAACGCTACTTTCAAGAACATCAATTATTGAATATTGAAGCTGGATCGAAAATGGCGTGTTTATTACCTGGATCGAAGAATGGAGCTGTTGTCAATGAATGGAGTAGTCGCCGTCGATTTCCAGCGATGAACGAAGCTGTCGTCGACTCGTCGTCGATTTCCGGCGAGGGATGAAGACGTCTTCGATTTCCGGTGAGTGAGGACGATTTCAGAGGGTTCAGATGCGATTTAGGTGGGATTTTAGAGAGAAATCTTCGCAAAGAACAGACAACAGAGACGAAGCTGAAAAATTTTTGCAGAGAAAAGAGAAGAAGCTGAGAAATTTGCGTGAGAAACTGAGAGAGATGAACTGATTCAACTGAACGCGATGAGAAGAAGCGTGTATTAGGTTTAGTTTCATTTTTAATTGGACCGGTTTATCAGTCGGTCCGGTTGGACCGGCGGTTCGCTGAAAAAATCCGATTTTTTAACGGTTTAATACGGTTCTTTGCTTATAATGGTTTTAAGCTTAACCCGAACCAGACACGTGACCGATTCCCAGTCTAACCGGTTAGACTGACCGATCCGGTCCGGCTTTTAAAACAATGTTTCAGTTAGGGTTCGAGTTTTCCATGAGTGTACTAGACCTATACTATTATTCTTCAGTCATTTGACTCATATCCCGTGCTGGACCTATACTATTATTCTTCAATTCAGTCATTTGACTCATATCCCGTGGATGTAAGCATGACTTTGCCAAACCACATAAATTTGGTGTTCTTTCATGTGAGTATGTGATTGTCTTGTTGCCTCCTTGATCTTTCATACCTCATATATCCTATGCAAGTCTTATTTTCTAAACAAAGTATGCAGTCATTTGAGCTATGCTAAAGTCATTGCAGTTTATATAATGCAACAGGTGTTGAACCAATAAGATTTTGGCGCCAACTTGCCTTCACTCACCTAGAAATGGTAAGGCAATTGATACACTCAAGCTGATTTCATCAAGTTTGAAGCTGGAAATGTTGTGATCATCATAATAGAGTTAGAAAAACAGAGAATATGATGCTTAATGTCTTACATTTGAGCTGATAATTTTTCCCCTAACCAGTAATTGATAGTACTAAATGCATAGTAATATCAACTATCCAATTGACATACAATAAAGTAGGCATACACTATACATAACAATTAATTAGTACTCGTATAGTTTTCATACAAAGTTATTTTCATATGAACCTCGTCGCAAACAGTTCCTATAGTTTTAGTTATGTTGGATTGTTGATGATAACAGATGGGATCATTTCTTGGCTACTTTCAACACCATTCAAACAGGCTGGCTTTGCAGCTCCATAGTAAAAGAAAGCCATCATTTTAGATAACTCATCTGCAGTTCGAATTGCTGAACAACCAATAAAACATAAGTTTAGATCACAATTAGTATTATAACGACCTAGAAAAGACTAGAGACTTTTTTAATAAGGAAATTAACCTTTCTCTCTGTATAAGATCTTTCCAGCTTTAGTGAATATAACCTCTGGGAAGATGGACACTTGTAGAGCAGAAACCAATTCGTGCTCGACATTAGCATCAACTGCAACACACTGTTTGATATAATAATGTTACATAAGAGAATGCAAACAAATGAAGAAAAATAAGAATTAGAAGTAGTTTTGCTATTACTAACTCTTGGTGAAGGTAGCCGACAATTCCAGATGATGTGCACAGCTTTCTCTATTTCGTCCCGAATTTTTTTGTTTTCCTTTGGTCTGAAGAGAATCAAATCAATTTCCGAATGAGAACATAACAGAAACGAGCACAGTAGAGATGCAAGAATTAAACAATTTTGTACAACTATGGGGATCAAATTACCTCATGGTCTATATATATATTTTTTTAAAGAATGGAGATGGGTCATAGCCCAAATCTAATTTTTGATCTCCTACCCTACCCCCATACAAACTTGGGTGGCCAACCAAAAAAAGGGGCTGGTAAACCACCAGGCTGAGCCCCTAGGGGCAATTACCTCACGGTCTAGTGTATCAGTAACTTAAATGAGTTTAAAAACAAAAATAAAACATATAAAAAACAAGAACTAACCTTTTATACCGATTATGTACAAGAACAATTAAAGGACTAATGTCTTTGAACACAATCTCTTCCCATTCTACAGTCTTGATATCTTTGATTGGGCGGATATAATTGTCATCTTGCCATACTATTTCGTTCTCACTATCATAATTCTCATCATCATCATCCTTCTTCACATTCTTGATGGTAATCTTGTCAAAAAATTGACCGAGACTGAAACCCCAGCCATCAGCATCTTCAGGCCAATCAGGATCATCCTCTTCCACCACAAGGGGGTAATCAGCTAGCAGCTTCTTCAACTTCTTCTTCTTTTCAATAGGGTCTATCTCCTCCTTAACATCAGGACACCGATCAATCACTTCTCTGATCTTTCTCCTCCATTCAAGTCTCTCTTCAGGATCCATAAATGGGCCGTCATCCACATTATTTGTCATCGAGGAATCATCATCATCGTCTGCATCACTTGATTCTCCTCCTCCTTTCCTTCCAAGTTTTTCTACCAAAGATCTTACTGCTGTACTTCTTCTGAAACTACCTGTCTGCCCTTTTCAGATAATTAAATTCCACAACAATGTACATAAATATAAACATATATTCACACTTATATAAAGACAAAATATATGAAAATTTTAAAATATTAGGGATGCTCACCATGAATTGGTGAAAAACAACACACCCTTGGAGACAATTTAAGAGAGTTTGATATGAGACCAGTACACTCCATCTTTGGGGAAGAATCCCGAGTGTCACTTTGGCATTGAATTTTACCAGCAAATGAAGGAGAATTTTTTAATCTATTCTCCATTAAAGGTGGATATAAACACAGGAAACTCGTTTTATACTGTAGCGCCATTTCACTACACTGTCCTATTGATTACAAAATGAAACTATAAAACATCAAACAGACATATATAAGCAAGGAACAAAATATTTTCAAAAAGAAAATAAGACGAAGAACAATCAAAATATATCATTTATTCTTAAAAAGAAACCTATCATCCGAGAAATGGGGGCTGATTCAACGTTCAATTATGGTTGCCACTAAAGTGAAAAAAAGCAACCTATCAATATAGTAAATTTAATCAAACCACATTCAACTAGAAAATAGAACCCAATAGCCATTTATTCCCATATCTAAAACTCAATAATGAGTCAAAGAATCGTAAACATTTTCATATAAGACTAGTGGAAATCTAAATCATCTGAGAAATGGGGATTAATTTCAAGCTTAAACTATGGCTGCCCTGAAGAGAAAACAAGAAACCCATCAAAGAAAAAAGTTGTTGAACCCATGTTTAATTAGCAAGTAAATTCAAATAACAAGTTTAACTTTTAAGCTGAAAATAGTTCAACTTTCCAACTAATTTACCTCAAGAAACAATTTTGAGCAAGTTAACATCAACATAATTGCATAAAGATTGATTTCCCCAAAAGGGTATTGAATTAATCAAGAATAAACCAACTCTGTTCTGACACTCACCAGTATAAAACTCTTATGCTCTGTTGAGCGGTTTCAAAGAATTACAAGAAACAAGCAACTGAGAAAAACTAAAGAAAACAACGAAATTGAGATGATAAGAGAAAAGAAGAGAAATGACTCACCACCCTCTTCTTCTTCTTCTTTTATCTGCTGAAAACTCTCACTAAACCCATTCAACTAAAACAAGGCTAAGCCGCTCTGTTTTTGGATAGGGTTAGTGAGTGTGTGTCCATTCAAGTATTTACTATTTAGTACCAAATAACTATTTGAACCCGACCCGACCCGCCAAATAACTGAATTCCGAACTCATCCGTTAAGAGATTTTATAAAAGATTATGCGATTTCTTAAAAATCTACAGAATATTTTTAGATTTTAATATTTTTTTATTTACTTTTGGATTTCCTTCATTTATATTCTTATAGTGTCACATGTACATGTAATAGTGTCACATAAACCATCAAACTTGTGACCGGATGATAAGACTTTAATCACCTGAATGAATACCGAGAGGTTTTGTGTTCGAATCCCTGTAATAATCCATTGAACTTATACAGTGTTTAATCAATCCCGGGATTCAACCTCGATAATTAAAAAAAAAAAAAAAAAGTGTTAGTGATACAGTTCTTTGATTATCATATCATATATCTATTATATAGAAGAATTTGTATTAAAAGTTTTAAATTATTATAGAGAAGATAAAAATTCTCAATCACATATAATCAATAAAATACATGTTGTAACTTGTAATTAGATCCTTCAGAACTCTTCAGAGGTCAAGTCAGATTCACAGACAATCCAATTCAATCAGATAAGGAGTCAGGAGACAAGCATTTACATTGTCCAAGTTAACTTGCTTCAAGTATGACAGAACTTCAATATGGAAAAATTATGTCCTGCATTCATACTCTTCAGCTACTCAGAACCCTCCCTTTACAAACAAGAATAAGAAAGGAACAGGAGAGCAGCGCATTAAACTTTTACAAAATAACCCCAGTTAGACCTATCCACAAGAACATGATATACAGAAAACCAAATGGGGTAAACGTAATTCAACTAATGATCCTAAAAAATGAAGTTAAGGCGTACATGGCAAGTCAAATATCTTGGATTAATGGGAAGTTAATGACGGAAGAAGCCAAGTAAAGAATCCAAGATTTTTTTGTCCCTTCAATCTTTGCAATGAGTATTCTACCATCATATTCCAGAGGTCCCCAACTGTCCATTCATGTGAAAGAATCCACTGTGTCACCTATATTCCAATGTCAAACGGATTCTTATCACTACACTAGACATATATATTCAGCAAATTAAGATCATGCACTGAGAGAAAGAATGTAGTAGGCCTCATGACATGATGGTATATAACATATAAGCACTTGAATTTGCCTTGCAGCAAAAATTTTAGAAACATTGGCCAGATGATGGTGTAAAAATGAGAGATGAAGAAATTGCAATAACGAGAACAAGATAAATACCTGACCCAGGTTCTGTAATGCCTCCATGCCAAATGTATAGTATGACATAAAAGGTCTTAATGCCTGAAAAAATATTAATTTTTTTCTACATATTAATGCCAAAAGAAAACAAGAAACGAGCTAGGAGAAACACACCCAAACAAATAGAAACTTCCCAACAAAAATTAAAACACACCCAAAAAAGTAGAAACTTCCCAACAAAAATTAAGGTTTGGTCTACTACCCCTTCCATCCAACACAAAATATATATGTATGAATATATAAGAAAATTTCATGAACTACTATCAACTCTCACGTACAAGAATTAACTCTTGCTAATGAGAATTCAAATCTGCAACTAAAAAAATTCAAGAAGTCTGTAGGAGAGACGAACTAATATATATATATATATATATATATATATATATATNTTTTTTTTTTTTTTTTTGGTTGGATCGTGCATCAAATGAAAACAGAAGAAGAACATTCCTAGTTCTGCAAATTTGTTAGAAGTGGGGGTTGAAAGGATAGTATTTTAAAGCTTTTAACTTTATAACCCTTCAAATGACTGATATTTCTAAATATTGATTTATATAATATTATGACTATGAGGTACTAGTGACTCAATATTTTTTTCTCCTAAGCTTGCCATTCACATCCCCAGCAATGGGTACTGCTACGGAAAATCACATTCTCGTTGCAAGGATGAGATTATCATAACTTACCTGAATAGTCCACAAAAAAAATTAGAAAAATATCATCCTTATAACTAATATTTAATGGAACATCTGAATTATGATATCAAGTAATCAGTGATAATATGGACATATGAAACAATGTAAAATCAATTGGAATACAACATATATACATATACACATGCATTCCTCTTTATCACATAGACTTAAATTAACAAATATTTGTGATTATATCAATAATTTTCTTATACATTTATTACATGAACACAAACCAAATTTACATAAAGGGACTTAAATAACATTACTCGTTTTGAACTAGTTTGCCCAACTTAGGTTTTGGATAAAGTTTTGTGTTGGGCCTGACCGAACCGAGTTAAAGCCCAGATGTGAAATTTTAGAGTAGAGTTATTGGCACCCCACTAATGAACTTAAAAAACATCATTCTAATTTCTTAATACATCCCATTTCAAACTTCAAAGTAAATTAAATATGTTTCTTATTACCCTTCATAAATTCTATAAATGGCCTTTCCATTTTTTTTTTAAAATTTTAAAAGAGTTAAAATTTTCATTCTTTTCACATATTTTATATACCCCCCACTATCATTATTCCTAACCAAAATTTTAGATTATTAAATTGAAGGTTCATAAAAAGCTGATTTTTTTTTTTCAAATATTCCCAAGAACATAATAGAATTAAACAACACAAAAAATATAAAGTTTAAAATAGCTACCAATACTTTGAAAAAAAAAAAACAATAAATTTATATGTAACTACAAACAATCTCATATTCCAAATCCTTTTTTTATTATTCATTCTCATACCAAAAAAATAAAAATAAAAATAGGGTTTATAAGATAATAGTAGAGTGTAAAAAGTAAAGGTAAAGGATAAGAAATTAAAGTTAATTTTAATAATTTAATATATGAATAAATTTGTCCTTATAAAATTCAATAAAAAGTGGGGTTTCTTGAATCCATTAGTGGGGTGCACCAGGTTATTCTATCGATGATCTAACGGTGATTTTTGCTTGGGTTTTGCTCAAATTTCAGAATTTTGTTGTTAATGGAAAGATCTTCACATCCAATGTCCAGTTTCCTGATAACCATTATTATTGTGGAGTTTTTCCTCAAGAAAGACAGTTAAATAAAAGAGTTTGAGTTGCAGAATTTCAATCCATCTATCCTTTAATTTGAGGATCGAAAGGTCATCTCTAGTATAATCAACCTGATATTTGGTTAGGACGTCGAGGACGTTTGGAGTTATACAGCTTGTAGTTCGAATGCTTTGCTGGTGATTTTACTCAATCTCTTTATAACACTTTTGTGTATTTCACTTTGTTAGAGTTGCAATAAATCTCTCAATTTGTTGAAATATTTTTGGTGGATTGTGGCTATTGTGATTACTTATTATTATAGTGAATTTAAATGGATCATTATATCCCGTGGTTTTTTAATCTCTTCACATTGAAGAGGTTTTTTGACGCAAATTGCTTGTGCTCCTTGTGAATTTTGATTATTGTTTTCAGACATATTTGTTCAAGGTTTTGCTTCTCACATATTCATTCAAGTAGAAAAGGTTTTGTTAGTGCCTTCTTATCATTCAATATACACTCATTTATTCTAATTTGAATACATGAGAGTTTACATAAGATTCAGTATATTTAGTATTATTAATATATATCTGATCCAAAGCCAATTCTTGCTTTGTTTTCTCATACTTTCATGTGCAAGTCTTGCTTTTAAGGATTATTAATATGTAAAGTTGATTAAGTTTGTAGAGGTTATACAAGAAGTTTTGGAATCCAATTTTGCTCATGAATTTAAATCTATGAATTTAAAAAAACTGTAATTTATATTTCGTGGAGACTTCATGATCACGTTTTATACCTTTTACTTAGGAAGAAAAATATAATAAACAACTTAAACTAGTACCCTATCAAAGATGTTGGGTATTCGGTTAACACACTTTGATGTTTAAGTACCTATTTTAAGGTGTAGCGGAATATTACTAAGTTGATTAAACAATTCTAATTTGAACACATCAAACATAAGTGCGGAAAATAAAGAACATAGCCATATATATGGTTCGACTAAATCTACTTTTAGCCTACATCCATGGGACTTTGTCTAGATCGAAGCAATCTACTAAGTTAAAAACACATTACAAGATATAGTTCAAAGCTGATCTAAGTTACAGTAAAAAGAACTCTTCTGTTCAACTTTACACTTAACACCACATTCTGAATTGTTAACATGTAGCAACTTCTTCGGATCTACTTCAAGCTAGGAACACACCTGTGAACAGCTTGTAAACCACCAAGCTTCAATTGCTGAAACAACGCACCAACATCAGTAAAGGAACCACGTTCCAAGAGCCATCAAGTCAATGTTTGATATGGTGAGGTTTTGGCACTAATGGAGAAAGAACCTTGAAACTTTAAGAGAAATAATACCCTAAGAAATTTAGAGTACGGAATGAAAAAAAAACAAATGTTCAAAAAGGTTAGGTTCATTTAGGCAAGAAGAAGATATATATAATGAAGAGTTTCTTGCTCAGCAATGAAGTGTCACAGCAGCCAACAAGGAGTTGACCCATTGTTTGTCCAAATAAGAAAAATATTCATTTTTTGGTTTGGACCACAAAGCAAATCAAGAAACGTTACTTCATTCCTTAGGACCACCCAATAGCGGATCCAGAAATTTATGCTAGGGTGGGCCAATGTAAAAGTAATTATACATTAATACTTTCGTCCATTAATATTTTTGTTAGGGTGGGCCAAAATATATAAATTATACATATTAATATTTAAAAAATAAAAATTAAGTGCCCACCCAAAAAGTGGCTGGATCTGCCCCTAGGACCACCTAAGCATTTTGTGACATATGTAAAGAGGTTCTAAAAAGTAAGAGACAAAGATAAACAATATCTTTCCAATTTTATCAGACATGTAACTTATGTTGAGTTTCAAAAAATCTGAAACGAGAGTGTAAACATAGACCGTTGTGCACACACATGTGAAACGAAACAAGCCAAGACAGAAGTCTAGCAAATAGTATACACTGAGAACTGGCGTGCACACACATAAAATATGAAACAAGTCAAATAAGAGAATTGATAGTCAGTGCACACAAAACTTTTGTATACACACATAATTTATAAGTTTGACAAAAATGAATATTCTACAAAAGACAGAAATTTGTTGATTAGATAAGAAATTTCAGGAGTTAATGGGAAGAGTAGAAAATTCTAAAAGGCAGGCTTTGTGACGTTTTATTCAAGAACTTGCACTTAAGATCGATAGTCAGCAGTCAGCAGTCCTTGTTCATTGAATATGGATAAGATGTTGAGCACTTTTCTACTCATTAACTCTACTTAGTATTAATTAAGTAATTAATATTGCTTTAGTCCACAGGTTATCATCTAACAGACTTGAGAAGCCCGTTAGTTATTTTTTTTTTTTTTTTACCACCTTGCAACGTCTCAACCATTAGATTGCAAAAAATCAACGGCTGAAAATTTGTATTAAAAATTGAAGTCAACTTGTAAATTGATATGATTGACCTTCATAATTAAGTCAATGACTTGATTATTTGTTTGTTGATTCTATTGTTAAATGAATTTACATATATGTAATACAATCACTGTTGGTATTGATGAACTTGTTTTTCTACAAATTTAAATTGAAACTTCTCTCTTGCGATGCTTTCTTGGTGCTTAGCCTTAGCGAAATTTTATGGCTTGACGATGCCATTACTTGTTTAGCGTAATGTACTCGAAGAAAAGTTAAAACATAAAAATTTCATGCGTCTACATATATTAAAGTCGAACTTTAGTTAGTTGGCAATACACAATTAAAAGAAAATTTTATATAGATTTAAGCATAATAGTTTTGGTTAATTTTTTTCCTTTAAGTATAGATGACGGTCACCTCATAAGTCTAAGTAATATTATTGAAATATATGCAAGAACACTCCTTAATTTATAAATATACATTGAAAACAAGAAAAAAAATTTAAAGAACTATATCATACTACGAAACATTTAGAAGACAACTTATAATATCCGTTTATTCCATTTATTTCGTTCGAGTTACATAAACTCCAACAGATACGTACTCAATAAGTTGTTTTATAAAACAAACTCTTTTGAAACAGTACTTGTTTCATCACCAACTTATATAATTAACTATAAAATTTCTGAAATTAAGCATCTAGCATGACAGATTTGGCCAGGATCAACACCGAACTTCTTCCAATAATCTCTGTAATATCCGATACGAGCGTTAACCTATCAGGTTGCTTGCCACCGCATTCAAGAGCGCCGTTAATTTTCTGAATTGTAAGCTCCAAAGCCCTGGTTCATAACTGAGTGAACGTGTTCATCCAACCACAAGGCAGCCTTGAAGGAGACAGCAGTCATTGGACACTGTT